AGTAAATGGAAAGATATCCCATGTTCATGGATTGAAAGACTTAACTTCATTAAAATGGCAATACTCCCCACACTGATCTACAAATTCAATGCAATCCCTATCAAAATCTCAGATGGCTTCTAGACAGAAACTGACAAGCTGATCCTAAAATTCATATGGAAACTCAAGAGGCCTAGAAGAGCTAAAACAATCTTGAAAAAGAAGAATATAGTCCAAGGGATCACACTTCCTAATTTCAAAATGTACTATGAAGCAACAGTAATGAGACAGAGTGCCACTGACATAAGGCTAGACATATAATCAAAGGAATAGAATTGAGAATCCAGAAATAAACGTTCACATTTATGGTTAACTGATTTTTGAAAGATTGCCAAAACAATTCACTGGGGAAAGAATGGTGCTGGGATAACTGAATAGCCACAGGTAAAGAATGAAGTTAGACTCTTACCTCACACCATATTCAAAAATTAACTCAAAATGGATCAAAACGCTAAATATAAGAGCTAAATCTATAAAACTCTTAGAAGAAAACATAGACTTAAATCTTCATGACTTTGGATTAGGCAATGGTTTCTCAGATATGACACCAAAGCACAAGCAACAAAAGAAAAAGTAAATTGGAATGCACCAAAATTAATAACTTTTGTACTTCAAAGGACACCACTGAAAAAGTGAAAAGAGGGGGCCTGCCCCATGGCTAAGTGGTTAAGTTCACACACTCTACTATGGTGTCCCAGGGTTCGCTGGTTCAGATCCTGGGTGAGGACCTATGTGCTGCTTATCAAGCCATGTTGTGGTGGCATCCCACATAGAAGAACTAAAATGACCTGCAACTAGGATATACAACTATGTACTGGGGCTTTGGGGAGAAGAGAAAAGAAAAAAAAAAAAGACGAAGATTGGCAACAGATGTTAGCTCAGGACCAATCTTCCTCAATAAAAAAAAGGGAAAAGACAAACCAAAGAAAGGGAGAATATACTTGAAGCTCATATATCTGATAAGGTACTTGTATCTGGAATATATAAAGAACTCCTACAACTCAATAATAAGAAGACAACCCAATTAAAATATAGACAAAGAATCTGAACAGATATTTCTTCAAAGATATATAAATTAGCCAATAAGCACATGACAAATTGCTTAACATCAATAGCCACAGGGAAAGGCAAATCAAAACCACAATGAGATATCACTTCAGACCCACTAGGATGCCTATAATCAGAAAGACAGGTAATAACAAGTGTTAGCAAAGATCTAGAGAAACTGGAACCCTCTACACTGTTGGTAGGAATGCAAAATGGTACAGCCACTTTGGAAAACCATCCGTCAGTTCCTCAAATGATTAAACATAGAGTTATCATATGACCCAGCAATTCCACTCTTAGGTATATACCCAAGAGAAATGAAAACGTATGTCCACACAAAAACTTGAACACAAATGTTCACAGCAGTGTTATTCATAATAGCCCAAAGGTGGAAGCAACTTAAATGTCTATCAACTGATGAATGGATCAATAACATGTGATATATCCATACACTGGAATATTATATACAATAAAAAGGAATAAGGTTTTAATACATGCTAGAACATGGATGAACTTGGAGAACATTATACTAAGTAAAAGAAGTCGGTCACAAAAGACCACATACTATATACTCCACTTATATGAAATGTCCAGAATAGGCAAATGGAGAGAGACAAAGCAGATTAGTGGTTGCCAAGGGCTAGGCTGAAGGGGGGAGTTGGGTGAAATAAAGGTGACTGCTAAAGGGTACAAGCTTTCTTTTTGAGGTGATGAAAACGTTCTAAATTTGACTGTGGTGATGGTTGCAAAACTCTGTGAATATACTAACAACCAATGAACTGTAACCTTTAAATGGGTGAATTGTACAGTGTGTGAATTATATCTCAATACAATTGTTATTAACAATAAAAAGTCACCCACTCTGTAAATCTTTCCTTGAACTACCTACCCCTCCCCCACTCTCCCAGTCCTTCCACCACACCAAGCTCCTATGGGCTCCCATACTAGTGCACACTTTTTTATATAGCATTTGCCACACTGAATTGTATTAGTGTAAATGTCTATCACTCCAACTGGGATGTACTTTAAGACAGGGGCTAATAAGCTTGATATGGGAGGTACTCAGTATTTCTTAAATAATTTCCTTCAAATTCTATTCCAATCTCTTAAATGAATATATATGCATCTTTTATATATTGAAGCAGTGTGTACAAGGTACCTGGAGTCTGCTTTTCTACCAAGCAGTTTATCAACACATGGAAATTGAGTGAACAGAATTGTCATATTTGACAGTGTCATACTATACCTCCAGGTCAAAACACCATGGTCAGCTTAGTACTTTCTCTATCTTGGGGAATTTGGTTGTGACCAACTTTAAACCATTATAAATACTTTGCTGGGACTATCATTAGACATATGACTTATTTTTCCTCTTTCTGAACCATTTCCTCAAGGTATCCTCCTCAAATCAGAATTACTACACCAAAAGGCATAAACACCCTGGTATCTGCTTGCCCAAAGCCCCAACAACACTGCAGTTAGAGTATATCTTATTTATTAAAGTTGGTTCAAACTTCTCTTTCTTCAGAGCTGCAATAAATAAGCAGTTCCATTTGCTTATTTTTTTTTCAGTCAAACTCTTAGACTCATATGGAAATTTATTTTGATTTACAGCATGAGGTATAGATCCATGGTGTTTTTCATAAAATTAACTAGTTCATCCACAAATTATACTGTAAAATTCTTAGAAAAGATAGATTCTTGAGTAAATAACATTGGTACATTGGTAAAGCCACTTGCATTAAAAACCAACAAACTGGATTCTTGTATCATTCTGTATATCAATATTTTAGATGGAGTACAGCTTAAATGTAAAAATGTAACAATAAAAGTATCTGAAGAAAATATAGGTGATTTAAAAATAATAATAATTTTATGGAGAGGACCACAAAGGAAAATACTGCTAAGTTTAATACTACATAAAAGATTTTCTAAGGCTTAAATTAAAAAATAACAATTCATAAATAACAATGAAAGGCAAACAAATGGGAAAAACTTATGCAACACTTGACAAAGGGTAAGTGGTTTTAATAAATAAAAGAGACATGTAGGAAGGATATGAACAAGAGTAAAATGACCAATAAACGTGTGAACAGATTTCAACCACACTAATAATCAAAGAAATGAAAAACAAACAAAAGATAGTATTCTTCATCTACCTAGCAAAGTTTTAAAACACTGACCAAATCATAAGCAAGTACAGGGGAAATGGGCCCTCTTTTGCTCTTTTCGTGGGAACACAAATTGGTACATCATTGTTAGAAAGGAGTTTTGGTAAAATGTAACAAAATATAAAATCTACAGAATGTTTGACCCACCGTCAGCACAGCTGAGATACTAAAAGATATATTCTCATAAGTGTAAAAACATAAAATATAAATTACTGTGAATAAAATAATTTAGTAAGGCTGCAACATACAAAAATAATCAGTATTTTCATATATGCAAACAACAGTCAATTAGAAAACATTGGAAAAGATTCTAATTCCAAAGAATGAATGTAATCAGAAATATGCAAGATCTAGATAAATGCAATTTTAAAACAGGCCTGAAACATACAAAGGCAGTACTGAGCAAATGGAAAGGCATGTAATGTTCTTAAATAGAAATTCAATATCGTAAAGCTGTCAATGAAAGCAAGATACACAGTCAATGGAATACTATGCAGCCATTTAAAGTGATACTCTAAAACTGTATTTCAGTCCAAATTAGATCAGTTCTTTAGCTGATTCCTCAGTGTTTAATGTCTATTTCTCCAAACAAAATCCTACTTTTTTCTTCAAGATCCAGCACAAAGCTACCTCCTTTATGGCCTGTACTAATCCCCAGGAATGGAACTGTTTGCTTTGTCCTCTCCATTTCCAGCTCAAGAGGCTTATGCCACTCTTATACCAATTACTATTGCCTTGTTTATTCTATGTTCATCTCCCAAACAATGGTAAGCTACTTAAGGGCAAAATCACATCATTCCCACAGTTGCCACCACATGACAGGTTTTTTAATGTTTGTTGGAAGCACAAATGGCTAACAAATTTTTTAATACTCTTATTTTATTACTAATCAAAGAAATCCATTTGAGAATACAGTCACGCACCACATATTGATGTTTCGGTCAACAGCGAACTGCATACATGACAGTGGTCCCATAAGATTAGTACCATATAGCCTAGGATGTAGTAGACTGTACCATCTAGGTTTGTGTAAGGGCACTCTATGCTGTTTGCACAACAACAAAATCACCTAACGACACATTTCTCAGAACGTATCCTCATCATTAAGTGACACACAACTGTAAATAGATATTATAACTTAAAAAAACTTGTATTAGCTACAATTTAAAAGAATGAGGCTACTCAGTACCAACAAAGGCAGAGCAAAAGGAGTGTTCTTATGTACTTCTGGTTAAGAGCAGAGAGGACAGAGCTCACTATGGAAAGCAATTTGGCAGTACGAAGCAAGAACCTTAAAACAATTCAAACATTTAGGCCTAGTAATTCTACTTCTAAAAAATAATGAGAAATAAAGGCCTTAGGGATAGAGATAGATGATTAGTAGAGCAATTATCTAAAATAAAGAATTAGCTAACTGAATTTAGGCACAAACTATGTAGCCAATACAGATAATACTTGCAAAAAATTTATACTAATACAAGTGAGGAGAATGGGAGGAAAGCAAGCTATAAAATTGTATAAACACAAAACAATGTAAAAGAACTTCAAAAACAGAAAAAAACAAAAAGGCAATACATCAAAATTTTGGTAGTAGGTGTCTGCAAATAGTGGGTTTAAGGAAGTTTTTTTTTCCTTTCTAATATTCTGTGTTTTCCAAAATAAGTATACACTAGTTTCATAACCAGAAAACAAACAAAGGCTGATGAAATAAAGCTAAGAATTATGGGAAGAAAGGGTCCTTACCTAGGGAGGTCACATTTCCATAATTCTCCAGCATTACGTCCCAGTACAAGGCCCTCTGAATTGGGCCCAGACACGCCCATTCCTCTGAAGTGAAACATACTGATACCTCCTCAAACATCACCAACTCCTGAAATAACAGGTACATGTGAGATTACCCATGCCCAGGAGCTCCCCTACTGAAGAAGCGAAGATTCCTTTCACTTCTGGGGAAAGGACACATTGTGAATCCATGAGACGGGCAAGGCGTAACAGGGAGGTAGAAGGAGACGCCACGTAAAGTCTGCATTCCAATAGCATGGACTTTGATTTAGAGATGGGAACTGACTAGACACCAAAGCACTAGGATGAGAGAGGGCAGTTCAGCCACAATTAGTGCAGATAGGGCCTTAGGAAGGAAAGAGGATGCAAATCTCACCTGGGGCTGAGCTGTCAGGAGCATGAGTGCCATTAACTGATTTCTTGGGTTTTCTTCCTGGGAAAGGGCAGAAGCCTCATGGGCAGGAGAATCTGAGGAAGGAGAAAAAGCTGCACGTGAGATTTGTGCTTTTCCTGCCCACTACTCAAAGTCCAATATCTTCTACAAAGAAGGAATTCAGAAAGACCCAGAATTCCCAGGACTAGGCAATCATGGCTACAAAATGATTCATAAAACTTTTCTGAGTGATCCCCATGTGCAGGGCTGGAATAACACAAAGAGTAGCAATAAGAATGGATAAAGGGTCAGAGGGACCCAGGAAAGGACAAAAGGACAAACAGCAGAAAGTGCTTGGTACCATAAGGGATTCATATACAGGGCGAGACAGGAAGCAACTATCTGGGAGTAAGGCGATGAGGCATAAGAGTCCTGAAAAAGTCCAAAACCAGAGGCACTGAGTAAGTACCATGTTGAGGATCCTGGAGGTTAAACACCACTGGGTTAGTAAGAGGATTTGGGTGCATTTCAGCTGATATGTGGCTGCCAGTGGGTGCATGAGGAAGTGCTGTTCCTGGAGTGCTCATCTGCTCCTGGAGAGTATCTTGGTCTTGGACAAGAACTGGAACCTAGGAATAAGCAAAATAAAATAAGCTGGTTCTTGTACTTCCAGAAAATGGACTCACCTAACCACCGTGGACCTCTTTCTGCCCACAATCTAGAACTGTGAGATCAGACAGACCCACCTCAAGTATGCAGCATCAAAACAGGAGTAAAGCTTTGCCTTGAGAACAATGGAGCTGCCCTCTAGCCCCACTCATGGCACTGGCGACCTCTCCCAGAGGAGACTGAACAGAACGGTGGAAACAGAAGCCAGACCTGGGTGTGGGTTAAGGAGGGAATGGGAAGTAACAAGCAATAATTAAGAGCATGGGTTTTAGCTTCAGGCATGGTTTTAGATCAGACCTGGGTTCAATACACTCTACTTATTTACCCCTTTACTTATCCCTCCCTGCTCCACAGAGGGAACACTAGAGTAGGAGCGTTCAGACACTTGGTTTTGCTGCTAGCTACAGGTACGACCAACAGCAACCCAGTGAAACTTTTTCAGCCTGTTTTCTTATCTCTCAAATGAGAAGGATGGATTACTGATTTGCAATGAAATATATAGCTCTAAAATTCTTCATTTTATGATTAAGACAAACAAGCCCATCCCACTTGGTGCCACTCCCAAGTTTAAGTTATGTTTCAGATTTCCTATATAGAAATGTTTCCAGCGGGCTATAGATTGACAGAAAGAGATCTCACACATTCTAGGAACTAGATTAAGATCTCAATTTAATGGTCAAGGATATAAAATCTTATCAGAAGCAAATATCTCAACCCAATACCTTGGCTCATAGAACCCCCAGCAGGGGCACACATGGGGAGGTCTTGTCAGATCTAGAAAGCTTCATTCTTTCGGGGAGGCTTTTATACTCCAGGTTTACACCATCATTCCAAAGTCTTATACAAACAATACATATGCTTCTGTTTAGGGGAACACTTAGAAACATTGTATTATTCACGTTCTTGAACCAAACTCAGCACAGCAAGCATCACCCAGGGGGACAAAGTGCAGTCAATGCCCTCATGCTTATTCTGAATTGTACCCAAAGACCCCAATCATAAATGTGTCTCTGCAAAGATATTCTACGGTCTGAATAGCTCATGAACCTGCTTTAATTAGCATTAGGGTTGCCAATGTGCTATTAATTGTTAATGAAAATCATAAGATCACCCTCCAGTCCAGCCTACCCTGCCTCAATTCTCTCCCTTCTTCTATCCCAAACTCTCCCCCTTCTCCATTTCTCACTTTTAGTGCTGGTCCATCGAGGTCTTTCTGCAGCTCCTCTACCAGGGCCACGGCCTCCTCACCGCTCCCAGGGCGATGGATCTGCACCCAGGTCCGAATCTCCCCAGGCAGGATGCTCAGAAACTGCTCCAGAACCAGCAGCTCCAGAATCTGGGCCTTGGTGCGCGCTTCTGGCCTCAGCCACCGGCGACAGAGCTCCCGGAGCCGGGTCAGTGCCTCCTGGGGTCCAGATGTTTCATGGTAACGTAACCGTCTAAAGTGGAGATGGGAGGTCTCCCAAACAGAGGAGCTACTCCCTTGGAAGCTGGTTCCCCATTTCCAGGTATCATCCTTCCCTTTAACAAGACCTTCTTGTCTCAGAGCATTGTGGGCCCAATTTTCTCTTGTCATTGTCGTTATCTAAGAAAGGTTCCTCTCCAGGACCCCTCAATCCTTGCTTGACTTCTTCCTTAGAGCTTGGAGAACATCATCTACAAGAACTCAAGAAATCATTGTTAATGTTAACCCAGAGAAATAACTAAATTTTTGAGATGTCAGTCAGCTTCCCAGTGACAAAGAGAACCTCCCTGAATGCAAAGTTCTAGGCTTGGGCAGTGCTTCCTGACAGAAGGCCCCTGTGCAAGGCTCCAAGGACACAGACACTCGTGTTACCCAGGCCACTGCTGAAACCAAAGACAGGAAATTCCTGTATTCCTTTATTCACAGCATCTCCTCCACATAATTACAATAAATCCTTTACCCACCACTCTAACTATGGGCATACTGGCTACTCCTGTGTGACTTTGAACAAGCCACCTCACTTCTGAGTTTTAGTTTTTTAACCTGTAAAATAGGGGTAATAACAGCTCCTATCTTATAGGCTTGTAAGGATTTGATGTCTAAAGACATTTCAAGTTTTTGAACAGTTCCTGGTATATGGACGCAAACATTACTTATTATCCTTCTGTAACTAGCACTCTTTCCTATGTTCTGTCAACAAGTAATCATGGTCTTAATCCTTATACACGAGATAAAATCCTAACATCTTCTCAATTAACAAAAAAATGCCGAATTAAGTTCTGTGTAGCTTTACTATACATATTTTGAATTCTCTGAAAATTGTTCATTCTGTTAATCAAAATATTTGGATAAATTTGAGTAAGGTTTTATTATATAGAACTTAGGTTTGTTGTTCTCTAGAAATCTTCCGTTTTTTAGAAATAATTTATTTTTTTATTACAAAACATAAAATTTATAAAATCAGAAAACACATACAAAACCAGAGAATCATCATCACTATTGTTTTGTAGTACTATGTTCTTCCAGTCCTCTCTCCATGCACTGATTCGGATCACAAGATTGGATCCAACTGTACTGCTCTGTAACTTGCTTTTCACACATTTTATATTGTGAACATAATATTAAATATTTTTCTTTTTTTTCTCCCCAAATCCCCCCAGCACATAGCTGTGTATTTTTAGTTGTGGGTCCTCCCAGCTGTGGCATGTGGGATGCCATCCCAACGTGGCCCGACGAGCGGTGCCATGTCCGCACCCAGGATCTGAACCCGCGAAACCCTGGGCCATCGAAGCAGAGTGGGGGAACCTAACCACTGGGGCCAGCCCCTCATCATTATTTTTAAGAGTGTATTAGCTTATTCATACTTAAGCAGTCCCCTGTTGTTACACATTTAAATTATTTATCATTTTCCCCTATTATAAATTAGGCCACAATGAATATTTTTGCTAATGAATATTTGGTTACATCTCTGCTTGGTTTTTCAGGAAAAATTCCCAGAAAAAGACTGTTGGGCCTAAAGATACAAAAAATTTTTTTTGAGGACTATTAGTCCTGAGCTAACATCTGCTGCCGATCCTCCTCTTTTTGCTGAGGAAGACTGGCCCTGAGCTAACATCCATGCCCATCTTCCTCTACTTTATACGTGGGACACCTACCACAGCATAGCTTGCCAAGTAGTGCTATGTCCGCACCCGGGATCCGAACTGGTGAACCCTGGGCCGCCAAAGCAGAACATGCGCACTTAACTGCTGTGCCACCGGGCTGGCCCCTAAAGATACAAATATTTTTAAGGTTATAACAGTTACATCACTATTAATGACATATAAAAGCTCCCTCATTAATTTTATTCAACACTTGGATCCTTAAGGAGCATGCTTATAACAGAGAAGAGGAGGCAGAACCAGAAACATTTCAGTATAGTGCAAGCAAAATTAATAGGACATCATACAAGCACAGAAAGAATTCATGAAAGGTAATTTGGGATTGAGCCTCAAAGAAAAAAGACCACTGGAGTATTAGGAAAGCCATTCCAGGAAGAAAGAAATTATAATTTCAAAAGCAAGGGACTGACAGCATGTATAGGTCTGTTAGATAGGTGCTTTGCAAACCAGAGAAGGGAAGTAAACTTTGGAGGTAACGTTGTGGGAGTAGAGTGGAGAGGTCAACAGAAGTCAAATTCTACAGGTTCTTGAGAGGCAAAACAAGCTGACCATGTACTGTAAGTGATAAGCAACCAGTAAAGAGGTTTTACTTTACATTTTTCCTTGTTATTTTTAAAAATAATAATATATTTCCCTGGTTTAAAATTATAAAACACATACCATGTAAAGTTCCCTCCCACTAACTTCTTTTGTATCTTTCCAGCTATTTACATATATACAAGTATGTCCAATATATATTATTTTGTATTTCCCTTTTTTTACAAATTGTAGAACACCAGGAGTCATGTACTGCATCTTCCTTTTCTCAATTAACAATGTACCTTAAAGATCTTTCTTGTCAATACATAGCTCCTCCCCCCCATTCTTACAGATGCATGGTATCACTGCATGGATGTATCATAATTTATTTACCCGCTCCAGCACTGATGGGACATTTAGGCAGTTTTCAATCTTTTCTTATTAACAGCAATATCATCATGAAAAACCTTGGGAATACATCAATTTACAAGTGGGTAGGCGTATATAGGAAAAGTTCCCCAAAGCAGACTTGTTGAATCGAAATTTATGCGACTTTAAAACTTTGATATTGCCAATTAGTCCTTCATTGGGCTTGGACAATTTAATATTTACACTCTCATTAGCATGAGTGGTATGGGTGTGCCTGTCTCTTTACTCTCTCACCAACACAGTTGTCAAAGTTTGGGATCTTTGCCAATCTTTAACTTGCATTTTGAGTAAATGAGTATACTTTTAAGAATCATTTATACTTTATTTTCTGTTAACTGTTCATATTTGTTGCTGTTTCTATTTGGAGTGTTCAGTCTTGGTAATTTGTACACACTCTTTGTATCACAGAAAAATTAGTCCTCTGCTTACAATGGGAGCTGCAAATTTTGCCCAGTTTGTGTGTGACTTTGTTTATAGTTGTTTTGCCATGCAATCAATCTTTTCTTTTATGGCTTCTGGGTTTTGTCATAAGCAGAAAGGCCTTTCCCACTCTGAGCATGAAGAGAGTAATTAAGTAACAGGGTCAAGAATCTATAAGGGAGGAATGATGGGAGAGGAAGGAATGGATATCAGGAAGGCCAGTAAGGTTTTTGCAATAGTCTAAATAAATGATTATGTTCTAAACTAAGTAGCAGTAGGGACAAAACAATTGAGAAAAACTGAGTAGTTCTTGGCAATTGACCTGAGAGTGAAGGAAAGGAATTTTAAAAAAGGATTTTGATCCCATATTCAAGATAGGAAGACTCAATATTGTCAAAGTGCCAGTTCTTCCCAACCTCATCTGTAGATTCAATGCAATTCCAATCAAAATCTCAGCAGGTTGTGCCAGCCCCATGGCACAGTGGTTAAGTTTGGCGTGCTCCACATCAGCGGCCCAGGTTCATGGGTTCAGATCCCAACCGCAGACCTACACCACTCATCAAACACGCTGAGGTGGCAACCCATATACAAAGTAAAGGAAGACTGGCACAGACGTTAGCTCAGGGCTAATCTTCCTCAAACGAAAAAACACCAGGAGAATTGGTGGCAGATGTTAGCTCAGGGCAAATCATCCTCACCAAAAGAAAAAAAAAAAACCCACAAACCTCAGCAGGTTATTTTGTGGATATTGAGAAACTGATTCTAAAGTTTATATGAGAGGCAAAAGACCCAGAATAGCTAACACAATATTGAAGAAGAAGAAAGTTGGAGGACTGACATCCAAAAACAAGACTTACTATAAAGCTACAGTAATCAAGACAGCGTGGTACTGGCAAAAGAACAGAAAGGCAATGGACCAGAATAGAGAGCTCAGAAATAGACCTACATAAATATAGTCAACTGCTCTTTGATAAAGGAGCAAAGGCAATTGCAATGGAACAAAGACGGTCTTTTCAAGAAATGGTGCTGGAATAACTGGACATCCACATGAAAAAAACTAATCAAGACAACAGACCTACACCCATCACAAAAATTAACTCAAAATGGTTCACAAACCTAAATGTAAAATGCAAAACTAGAAACTCCTAGAAGATAATATAGGCAAAAACCTGGATGATCTTGGGTATGGTAACGACTTTTTAGATACAACACAAAAGGCATGAATGAAATAATTAATAAGCTGAACTTCATTAAAATTAAAAACTTCTGCTCTGTGAAATGTCAAGAGGGTGAGAAGACAAGACACAGACTGAAAGAAAATATTCACAAAAGACACATATCTGATAAAGGACTATTATCCTTTGTATATTTTATACAAAGGGCTGTTAAAACTCAACAATAAGAAAACAAAAACTTGGGCAGGGCCAGTGGCATAGTGGTTAGGTTCACGCACTCCGCTTTGGTGGCTTGGGATTCATGGTTTGGATCTCAGGCATGGACCTGCACTCTGCTCATCAAGCCATTCTGTGGCAGTGTCCCACATACAAAACAGAGGAAGATTGGCACAGATGTCAGCTCAGGGACAATCTTCCTCACCAAAGGAAAAAAAAGAAGAAAAAAAGAAAACAAACAATTTAATTAAAAAGTGGCCCAAGACCTTAACAGACACCTAATCAAAGAAGATAT